CTCTCTGAGTTTGTTTCGCCGGTTCCTCTCATAAAGGTCTCCCAATTTTGGAACCGGTGGTAGTTTACGGTAGTTAGGGTCAAATAAATAAACTCAAAATAACAAAAAAGATTTTTTAATAGAGTACTTTATTAACTAAATTAACTAATAAATTCATACATAGACAATAAAAATTTAAAAATCTTCCAATGAAATAACCGAACACTCAATAAAAGTCTTCTTTCGAAGGTAGCTCGACGAAATTTAAAAAAAAAACATTATTCTGACGATGCAGACCTGAAAAGGCTGCGAAACGTCAATAAATAAATAAAGTTTCGTGCATTAACCCGTTAAAACTAGTTTTATTAAACTCTCTCTGATTATAATTTGTTACTAAAACTGAAGAAAGAACTTCGAGATTTACCGAGGACGGAGAAAATTGTGGCCTATTATCACGGACTTGACGAAATTTGTTTTTTGATGTTTATTATTGTTTGTTAAGTTATTGTAAAGAAAATGAAAAATTTATCAGGCTTCAGGCACAAAAACATTAAAAAGAAAAGGAAAGATATTGCAAAACCCTCTTCCCCTCCATTCCACAATTTTTGGACTTCCCTTCGTGTATCCATGGCATCGGACCCTTGATTACAAGTAGAAGTCTCAAGTGAAACCCTTCAGGTTACTCAAAAAAAATTAAACATTCGAATTCGCATCAAACAAAGTCGCTGCAAGTTATTAGAGGGTGAGGTCTCAAGTGTACCACGTGACGTGATCTAACAATAGGAGCCGGTTTTAGAAAGAATGAAAGAAAAACTTCAATAAGACGTTATGCACTTATTAACCCGAGTACAATATAGTACATTACGCTACGCGTGACCTAAGTTGCCTATTACTGCACGGCGTGAAGTTAGCGCCCGAGCGGAGCGCGGGTGCTAAACGCCGTGCAGTAATAGACAACTTAGGCCACAAGTATCGTATACTATTTTATAGCAAGTGTGACATAAACCCGCCCCGGACGCGGGCAAGAGGAGGGGATGCGATTAGTGTCTTGAAAGTAAAATTCATGTATTGCAATCACAAAGAATTGCAATACAGACTGCAAGTCAAACTCTGAAAAGAAAGAATTCCGGTTCAGATTACCATTTTGAAAGTATATTTCAAAAGGAAAAAATCAAATATCATTACAACAAAATAGAATTTCAATGTATCCATGAACGTTTATTCCTTGATTGGCATAGTAAAGTTAAGTTACGCGTATCGTAATGTAGTAATTCTACATGAGTGAAGTTGGTCAATTCATTTACACACCGTGCAGAAATAGGCAACTTAGGTCACAGAAAAGCGTGCGTAAAGTGCGGGTTTAGGTCACACTGTGCTATAAAATATGATATACAAGAACAACACTAGACCCGACCTCAGCGTGTTGCAACTGTAGTGTTTGTTTATAGGTAGGGCGTTGCTGTACATCTGACACTGACATTCATACTACTGACATTAGATATGAGCGTTCTAAAGACGAACCGGTTCCAAGGAAAGTTTTGTGTTCCGCGACGATAGAACCGTTTTACGTTTCGGATCAAAACAGTCTTCGTCGAACAACTAGTCCTCGGATTGTCTGCACGCCAATATGTACTTTATGATGAAGTGAATACAGTCTATAATAGAACGCAATGAAATGAGGCCGTTTCGTTCTATGATAATTAAGCTTTGATTTTACAATAATAAAAATTTATAATTGAACATTTAAAGTCGATTATCGTATAACACAACATTTATTTCGATGTTTCGTCGTCTCGTTCGCAGCAACGAAACGAACGTTAACAAGATTTCATTCACGCAACGAAACTGAACTACAGTTTCGTTGCGTTACATTCGTTCGACCGTCGCGTGTCGTTTCGTTGCATCACCCGGCCGCAACCAAAACCAGTTGCGAACGAGAACCGTTTCGAGGACTAGTTTTCGTTTAAGAAAAAACGGTTGCGTTTCGTCGTCAGAAAATTTGAGAACGACCCACCGCTAACTGACATATAGGTTAGCTGTTTTGTCTATGATATCGAACCGCTTGATGTCAACGTAACTGTCAAACTTCATTGGTTAGATTGGTAGCATTGAAAGATTAGTTTATTTTTTTCATTCGACTTAAAAATCGACTTCAACTTATAAAAAAACAAAACTAATCAGTTACTTTGAGTTATTGTGATGGATGGCCCTGTTGAATTTACCAAGTGTTAAATTTTGAATTAATTTTTCCATATCGATTTGAGTCCTCAATCAGGCACTTTTCCAAAGTAATATAAAAAACTGCATTCTATTCGAAATTAAATGTCCTCGTTGATTTAGGTAGGTATTTTCTTTTCCCCCACTTAGGGAGCTTAGGGAGTGACAGATTTTCCCAAGCAGCGGCTGTTTAACTGTTGCCTTTGCCTTCACTCGGAGAGAAAAAAATCATAGACACAGATTTGGTATATTTATCTTTCTCTTTGCTCAGTTTTCAAAACAAGATTCAAATTTCTTTTTATTGAAATCAAGTTCCGTTTGTCGTAGTATTTTGGAAACAAGACAAATTCTCAGCGATTATACTTGATAATTAGAGCCGAATTAGTTTGTGTCCTGGTGGATATTGGCAGACATAGCGCGACTGTTAATTAATGTAAAAACATCGCAAAAGGGTATGTTTTTATTTTTTTAAGCATTTAACTGCTAGATGTTTAAATCTAAAGAAAAGTTTACTAGAAAAAAATCCACGCGGACCAGGCATTTTTCTTTAGATTTAAACATCTAGCAGTTAAATGCTTAAAAAAATAAAAACATAACTATAATTGCTATTTCTTCTTTCAAATGTTTAATACTTAAAAAAGTATTCATTTGACATTGTGGGTTACCTACAATGCGAATAGATGGCGCTGCCTTGCAGCTTAAGGCTAGGAAAATTTCGACGCGGCCATCACGGCCATGGTAGCATAATTGGTCAGTGCATTCGCCCGGATTGCGAAGGGTGCGGGTTCGAGTCCCGTCCGCTGCCTGGTCCACGTGTTTTTTTTTTGTTTTCTAGTAAACTTTTCTTTAGATCCCGAAAGGGTCCCTACGTTTTCCTCAAGAACTAAGCCAAAGCAAACAGGCACTGAGGAGATTTTTTCTTTATACACGGGCCAGGAGAGACGCGTGAGATTATAACCATAAAGGCTGCAAGCAGCACTCCAGTCGATGTTATCCTGCCGTGACTGTGGATAAATCATTTCACCTATAGTATAGTCACGGTAATAAAATCATACAGTATTCTATCTTCATACAAACGGTCGGAAAGCGAGTCATACCTACGCCACTCGAGTTCGATGTGCTCTCGGCGTGCACCCAGTCGCGAATGCGCCGCCGCGCCGCAACGACGACCGAACGGTCTGAATTGTTTTTTATGCAGTTAGCCGTGCTTAAACGTGCGTTTTGAATTGTAAATATTTGATTTAATTAAGTAGATACCTACATAACTTAGTATGGAAAAGAACAAACGACGATCAATATCGTACAACAGCACAATTGCTGTTTTTGGTTGCTTGAATTCTTCAATAACACACCCAGAGATATCATTTTTTAAATTACCTGAAATATTGGAAAGGTGTCCTTACCTTTAATATTTTTTATATACCTATCTACTAGTACGTAATTTGTTTCTAATATTTAGGTTTTTCCATCGGGCAAAATATCTGGAATAATATATAAATAAGTGGTTAGGATGAAAAAAGAGACAATCGAGTAATCTACCCACACTCGCGTTAAAAACAAAACTAAATTAAATACTGTAGGCGGGCGGCCCTACCGCGTGCTAACCCAGGCAGCGCTCGGCTGTAGGCATTTATTTTCAAGGACAGGGCGGAGTCACAATACTGTATGGATAATATTACCGTGGTATAGTATACATACTGAAGGTATTTCCCTAACTAACCCTTGGGTGAAGAGTTGCCGACAGAAGCCACGCGAGGTTGGACTACGCCCATTTCTACATTTGTCTTATTGAAAACAACAATAGGGGTGATGACGGGGTACAGTAAACGAAATTCTATTGAATCCGTCAGTTAGATGATCAAAAAATAATGGTCACCAATTTTTTCTTTGGGCAATCAACCAAAAAATGACAAAGTTATAGCGCGTCAAAGTTTGGGAGTAGGGGCACGTGACGTCACTTTTAAGTGAAAATTTTACCAAAGCGTGAATATATCTCTGCAATGTTTATATTATGTGAAAGAAGAAAAAATACGTGTCCTATACTTTTTGATTATCTACCTGATAAACAAAGAGAAAAAAATAGTCATCATCCCTATTAACATATCGTTTCATCCCTATGCGCAGCTATCCCCTCCGCGTTTTGTTCAGCACTAGCGACCTGTACCCTGTACGTTGCGAACTTATCTGAGTTGCGCTTAATTAAATAAATGCGACTCTTTTAAAAAATCACTAGTAACATTCTAACTTAATAATAAACATGTTAATTTAAAAAGAAAACCAATTTCGTTTCGTTTTTATTTACTTACATTATCATTCGTATCCGCATTCGCATTTGCACGTTTGCATAAAAAAAACAGCCATTCGCATTCGCGCATGTCGAAAATATGACATTCGTAACACAATATGAACATGATGCAATTTTCAAACCCATAATAATTGATTACGAACTCTTGTAAAATGAAACTCAATCAATTAAGATGGGTTTAGAATGTATAAAAAAACTTTATATCAAATTCGCTGCATGAAAAGCTAAGGCTAAAGAGGATACTCGGTCTAATACTGGAATCTGGAATCATTGTCGTTATGATTTTGTTAGCAGCCGTTTTTCTACGTCAATCCACAAAAATATAAGTAGACACAACTATTTCCAGGATTAGACCAGATATCATCAAAAAATTGGACAGTAATCATAAACTCACATTATAGTTATATCGGGGTCTCGTAAAACAAGGTACATGGTAGCAATCCTGTAATCAACTAAAGTAATTGTTATTTTAAAACCTTACTTATTTATCTCTATATACCTTATTGATCAGTTGTGCCACGCCAATAACGTCCTTATTGGCATTGACGATAGGCATGCAAAGCATTGTCCTCACAGTGGCCGCGTCGTCCGCAGCCAGATCCGGCGCAATCATGCCGTTTTCTTTCCGCCATTCCTCTAAATCCGATATGTTAAGAGCTTTGTTCGACTGGGCCACCTGAAAGACAAAGTTTCAAAGTCTAAATGAAATGTCTAGAATTTAGGCTATGGCACTATCTCCAAAACCAGAAAAATAAAAAAATTAGGTATAGTTCTATAGGTAGCATTGGACTGAACGAGACAGCAATCTCTCATTTTCGCAAAGCTACTTATAAAGTGTGATATAGTTATACTGCTGTTAAATAAATGTCAATGTTAAATCAAGGTTAGATAGATGGAATCTTGCCAGAGTAGGGTATTTGACAGTATTAAAAATAAAGTGCCAATTGTTAGCCACTGTGTTTGAAATGAATATTGGCAGAGGTTTTTACTATTTTAACAGAAAAAATATTCATAGTTTTACTAAAAACCCACGAAAAAGAAAATAGTTTTCTTATCTAATTGTCATGTGACCCAAAACGCTTGGGATTGGCGGAGCCTAAAATGACGTCACACGCAAGTAAACTTCCGGTTAAAGTGATATTACATTGTAAAGTTTGACGTTTAAATAACAGTCGTGTGACGTCACACACCAGTGAGACGCCATATTGTCCAGAGAAACGTTTTCGCGGCAACTTCAAAATGGAGTTTTTCATTTGGTTATTTTTAATGAAATACACAACAGCATGATGAATATCCACTTTTTACGGACTCCATAAACATTAGTCAATAACGTGAGATCGTTTTCTAAAACTTGTCAAATACCCTATTAGGTCCAATGTGTTATGTTACTACTACTCTTGTTATGGCCGGTCTAGGGATGGGTGAAATCTTAACTAGAATCTCAAGCTCCTCCTTATTTCAGAGTCACGCAAAGTCATAGCTTCTAGTAGACGAAACGTTGGCATTGTTAACATCAAAACCGCGTTGAAACGCACTAACTCTCCCAAACAGTTTAAAAGATAAAATATCAGTATATCTATCTCGATGAGCTCGATGGCGCAAGTGGTTAGCGCGTTCCGCTACGATCGTTGAAGTTAAGCAACTTTCGCAGTGGTCGGTCATTGGATGGGTGACCAAAAACATCGATCTCGAATTCCTCCGTGCTTCGGAAGGCACGTTAAGCCGTTGGTCCCGGCTGCATCTGCAGTCGTTAGCACCCGCCAATCCGCACTGGGCCAGCGTGGTGGGTCATGGCCCAATCTCTCTATTCCATTCATAGGGAAGGCCTGTGCCCCAGCAGTGGGGACATTAATAGGCTGATGATGATGATATCTATCTACCTTTAAAGCGATGCTGGCGAGAGTAGACCTGACGTCGTGTCTGGGCGTGAGGGTAGTTCTTGAATGGTGCACGCCCAACTCGAACAATGTGTGGAAGCGAGTGGGCGCTGGCGGGGGCAGCGCGGGAGTAGGGGAGGGCCTGCCCCCTGGACGCTGCACTATCCTCTCCAAGTGGCTCTGGTACATGAACATTGTCTCAACAAATCTTCATCGAAATATCAAAGAGATAAAGTTTATAAGGATCTCGAGTCGTTGGTGTAGACGACAACCGCAAAGCAGGTGGCAATTGCGGTCCATGAGAGAGGTCTATGTAGGGACACGATATCGAATACAAAGTATCGATACTGTACTCATGAGTAGTATCGGAAAAAAGTATCGTACTCGTAAAAGTATTGAAGCAAAAGTATCGATATTTCAAAGTATCGAGTACATTTCATAGGATAGGATACCTTATAAGCAATGTAGATACTCTTAAAAACGTGTAATGTTAATATAATCAACTGCAAAACTAAACGTGAATTACTCAATTACGTAAGTCTCAGGACACACTAGATTGCTTCTGCTTCCAATTATATCAACGCAATCGAATGTTTTAGAAGGTTTCCTATGATTCCACTAGATGGCGTTGTCATCAATATAAGGCGCTTATCCAATTTTTTAAAGGTATCGATACTTTTTTTAGTTTAGTTATTTAGTTGAAGTATCAAAAACCAAGTATCGAGTACAAAAGTATCGGTATCGAAAGGAAAAGTACTCGATGCCACAAAGTATCGATACTTTTTTCGTGTCCCTAGGCCTAAGTCCAGCAGTCGAATCATGCGGGCTGATGATGAAAATGATAATAGTGCTCGATGGCGCAGTGCTTAGTGCTTTAGGTATACGTTAAGCGACTTCCGCTTGTCCGTGCTTTGCAAAGCAGGTTAAGCCGTTGGCCCGGCAGCACATGCAGTCGTTAGCACCAATCAAACTGCACTAGGGTCCTCATGGTGGAAATCAATCATGGCACAATCTACCTACTCCATTCATAGGTAAAGGCCTGTGCCCCAGCAGGGGGGACATTAATAGGCTGAAGATGATGATGATGAAAGTTTGTGAAATAGTTTGCAGTAAGTAATCTCATATCTACAAAACTTTAGACTTCACCTCTTTATTTGAGTTTATAACTGAACCGTCTCAGAAAAGGTGTTAGAAATTTCATTAAAATTTTTAGGATGGCGCTTTGATGCCTTGTGATGGTCTGGGATAGAGAAAAATATCCTTCTAAAGGCTAGATATTCTGCTGTAGTCGACACGGAAACCCCAGCTTGGGACTCGGTGAGAAGATACTTGTGTTTGTATGTGTGTATGTGTGTGTAGGTAATACTTACGATAGTGTGGGCAAAGTTATTCTGTGATCATGATAATTGCAAAAGTGCCGAAATATCGGAGACTCACAAAAAGCAATTCCGTTAAAAGACCTGGGATACAATAAATAGTGTTTGTTTACAGTATTGTTGCACTGTGTGTATTAAAATTTGAAAACCCAAGTTTTCTATTCGTTACCTAATTATGTAGTTTAGAATAACAGACATGAATATTTTCTTTTTTATCTTTTCCAAATGTTTTAGAAATTTTGTATTTATCTTATATTATTTATTATAAGCACAAACTCATCTCGTAACAAACGTTAGACCCTCACCGATTCGCAGTGGTCCGTGTCCAATATGAACACGGCGCATCGATCGCATTTCAGCAGTTCCCTGGCCTCAGTCATGATCTTGGTGACCAGACACTCGAGGTTGCTCTGCTCCTCGAATATACTCCTGGCCAGCGCCAGCAGGATCTGGTTCCTCTTGTACTCCAGGATGGAGGATTCGAACAACTGAGCATTTTGTATGCCGATACCGCAGAATGTCAGGTACCGTCGGAACACTTCTACGTCACGTGTGGAGAACTCTTTGGAACCTGGAGGGGAGAAAACATTCGCTCCATGAATTTTACGTTGAATTAATTTTTCTTGTACTCTTTTATTTCATTGCTTTGAGAGCCATTGGATAAGGCTTCAATTTTTACTAGTAGACACGGTATTTTAAATTACATACCCCCTCGTCTGTGTAAGTGGTTGATTCTACCACGAGTTGAGAAAATTATTTTTATTTATCATATCTTTTGTTTTATCATGTTTAGTATTGTTTTTTTGTTTGTTAGACATCATTCATTTCATTGTAAAAATCCCGCTCTTCGGCAAATTTAAATTGAAGTGCATATACTCCGTGAGATCTAATGAACCATTATGACGCAAATAATTATTGCCCTGTTTTTATAACATTAAATATTGTGTAAGATGCCCTTGATGAATAAATGAATTTGTGATTTCTTACTATTTACACATCTAATAAATAAATAAATAAATATTGCCAACACTCACACCAATTAGCCTAGCCCCAAAGTAAGCACTATAAGGCTTGTGTTATGGGATACTAGGGTAACGGATAGAATACATATACTGTACATATATAAGTATATTTATATAGAACTAGCTGACCCAGCGAACTTCGTACCGCCATAAAAAAAAATTAATTAAAAAAACATTGTCCAGCGGACAAAATTGTGAATCTAAACCATTCTCAGATCCCCTTGAACACACACAAAAAATTTCATCAAAATCGGTCCAGTCGTTTAAGAGAAGTTCAGTGACATACACACTCACAGAAGAATTATATATATAAAGATTACATATTAAACATCCATGACTGGAGTACAAATGCTCGTATTCATCACACAAACATCTGCCCCCACCGGGATTCGAACCCGGGACCTCTCGAGTCGGCAACACCATGAAACCCGGCGTACAAACCACTCGGCCAAGGAGGTCGTCGATAATATAATTAGATTTTGTAGAGAAACTATTCAGGATTGATTTAAGACATAAACGAAGCCTGGATGTACAGTAGAACTCGAATAATAAGAGGAATACAAAATGGCGGGCTACACAGACTAGAGGATACTTTTATGGACAATGTAACGACATAGCTTTTTTAATTGTCGTTTATCGTTTTTAAGCGTGTGGAGATTCTTTCACCAGTTCTTCTCTACAGCTAAAAGGAGCCCTGAGCTAGTGGTAGGTAAAGAAGTTAGAGTATATTTTTTTTATTTTATTAAGAAAACCAACAGCGTATACATCAACAAATACCAGATAGTATTTTACAGGTAAGTTTGGCCAATTACAGGTTTCCCTTAATTTAAAATTAGTAAATGTACATCGGAGATGATTAATTATATTATGACAACGAATAAATTAAGTAACAGCCATGAGAAAAAAAATACAATATACAAACAATGAACAAACAAGCAACTCCAAGGAGTTTTTAAATGTAGAAACACATTAATACATATACTACATACTCACATACCTATACATACGATATACATTCACATAATTATACATAGACACAGATTCACACACACTTACACTCAAAAAAAAAATGGTTGCCTGTAAAGTCGGTTTTACGGGCGAAGATTTTACGTGACAACGTCTTTTTCTCGGTAGAATATTTATTGATATGAATATAATTAAATTGCACAATAGGAACAAGGAATTGAATGAAAATAAGAATTGCACAAATTTTAACTATAGAAATATATTTTGTTTACTAAAACATTGTACATGTAAACTTAAACTTAACACGAGAGACTCATCGTAACGTTACCGAGCGTTACACTTTTTCATAAGTGACTCCCAGCCGCAACCTAATTTAAGACGTTGTCACGTCAAACAGTACCTTCACATTTCTACACTAACGCATTCACTGATCAGACTCCCTTTAGTGTTTCAAACACTTCCATTTTAATATTAATTTAATTTTCAAATTTTTGGAGTTTACTCCTTAAGAATCGATTTGCATATATAAGGGGGGGTTACGTTTTTGGTGCGCATCCTATGTCGCGTAACTTTGACAAACAAAGATGACAGATTGACGTTAGTAAAATTTTTAAAATCTGAACTGAATTTAGATATTGTTTCTGATAGAGCAATGGGGACAACGAGGTATGGTACAACCATTGATGCGGTATTTTCAAGATTCGTGAACCACGTATCTACGAACGTCCAGGTGTCTTATTTTAGTTACCATAAACCACTTGTCACTGTAATAATGCAGACAATGTTGATTTAATTAATATTATTAAATGTATATGAAATGAATAAATATATAATTATATATGTATATTATTTTCACTAATTTGTTAATTTACCCTTTCATACAGTATCAATCTTTTTTAAGTTAAATAAACTCTTTTTGCGTCTGGTTAGACTATCGAACTTAAGGAGTAAACTCCAGTCGTGCGTCGGAGCTGACACACACAATTTTTTATTATGTGAAACTTGTTCTTACCGTCTGTCTTGTTGATGATCTGCGCCACTCCAACCACTTCCCCCTCGTAATTGCATATCGGCATGCATAGAATGAGCTCCGTCTTGTAACCTGTCCGCGCGTCGATCTCACTGTTGAACCTGGAAGTTGAAGGAGGTTTTAACCTGGAGAAGAGGAGCTCGATCGCGCAGGTCTATAGCGCGTTCAGCTGCGATCGTTGAAGTTGAGCAACTTTTATAGTGGGGAGGGGTAACCAAAAATTTCGCTCCTCCGTGCTTCGGAAGGCACGTTAAGCGGTTGGTCCCAGCTGCATAAGCGGTCGTCAACGCACCAATCCTGGGATCCTTTAAAAGAGGCGTGAAGAAGCAACGTGCAGGCCGGCAGCGTGAGGATGGCCGGTGTGGCAGGTAAAACTGCTGTATCAGCTATCTTCGCGTCTGGAGTTCACCTTCACTTAACATCAGGTGGGATGGAGTCATTTGTCGGACCTATCTATAAAAAAATACACACTAGATCCGCGTGGTAGTTCATGGCTCAATCTTCCTAATCCATTCATAGAGAAGGCTTGTGCCCCAGCAGTGGGGACATTATTAGGATGGAGGTTTGAACCTGGAGGTTTAAATATTATGCTAATGAAAAAAGTTTTTGATGAAATAATAATACCAAATCTTGACTAGCGACAAACGAATCTTGCGTAGTGACATTTTTTTCAGGTATTAAATTATATAAAACTAGCGGCCCGCCCTCGCTTCGCTTCGGTGTAGAGCTGAAGTGTAGACTGCAGTTTTTGTTCTCAGGCTTGTATTATACATAATGACATTTATCTATGATTCTTCTTATACCTGCATGCAAAGTCTCAGCCCGATCGGTTTAAAATTGACAAAGTTTCATACAAACTTTCATTCCCTATTTTATCCCCTTGGGGGTAGAATTGATCAAAATCCTTTCTTTGCGGATGCCTACGTCATAACATCTACCTGCATGCCAAAATTCAGCCCGATCCGTCCAGTGGTTTGGGCTGTGCGTTGATAGATCACTATGTCAGTCAGTCACCTTTGAGTTTTATATATATAGATAGATTGCTAATACGCGAACTTCTCAGACAAACACGGAAATACTGAATTAATATTTCTCATATACTTTTTTTAAGGCGTAAAAAGTCGAACAAATATGAAAGCCGGACAAAAGCAGAACAGTCCGGTCATGTCCAGATGATGAATGAAGACGGATGGTAATTCTACTCGCATGAACACATTTCAAAGACGTTGGCATTGATCTATTGGCGGGCTTTCTTCTGTATGTTTTTAATTATTCCCAGTCTGGGAGGCTGTATATGTTTAATTAAATATATGTATCTGATCATACATAAATGATTGGTCTCGCTTCGATGGACTAGATATCGCGCTATCTGAAAACAACAGCTCATTATTGTAGTGTGTATATGTCAATTTGACAGAATGCTATTGTGTGCAAAGAATCGTGTGGCCAGCTGCTCAACTACCCAAGTAATTGGTAAAATATTTTAAACTGCGGTCTATTGGTTATAAATGTCGGTGGTTATAATTGATATGTTACAGAAGTCCTACTCTTTTTCTCCGAAACAAAATTTCGGCAACGTACGAATTTTAAACGAAATTTCGCCAGTGACTCTATTTCATTTTCGAACACGCACATAAAGTTCGGAATCACAGACAATTATCGTGAACGAATGGAATGAGTTATGTTTGTGAGTTCTTTTTGTCTACACTTTTTAGATAACGTTTTTTACTTCAAAACAATATTACTTTATGACAATTTTTTTAATAACATTAAATCAACCTCTTTTGACAGTGTTAGCCTTTGAAGTATTGGCAATACAATAACAAACAAGGCTTTTATTTATTTGTAAAATTTTCATACTAAAAAAATGTTTCTCACGCTAAGCGCGTTTAATTAAAAATACTCTATTAGTAATTTTAGGTTTAATTTAAACAAAAATCCCAAAAAAAAATGAAAAGGTAACACTTTTCGTTTCGTCAATTGGAGGTTAAAGGTTAGAAAAATTATCTGTCAAATTCAACTTTTTCTTCTTTTTCAATTACTTTGTATTTTTCGGAAAATTACAATTTATGATTGCATTTATTTTACTATCTGATTTACGTAGACCCTCTTTGTAAAATACATAGGCTAGGTATTCTGCTGATTTATTAAATAATTCGCATTAATTTTCTTTCAATCTAAACCCAGCGTATTGTAATCTTGATAAAACCTGGTCTAATCTATCCATGTGAATTTTTTGTAGGGCCACAAACACCAACCAACACCCTCTATATCACCTTTTTTTGTGACGCAGGCAAAAACTCTGTTTACAGACGACGGCGCCTTTAAGAGGCACACCGACGAACGGACCTCACACCTGGCTCCCGCAAATCTTACGAGCCCCCACAGTGGCTGCCCACTGAGGACCCCGTAACTCTTACGGGCGCTTTACGGCATAATATCCGGCTAAGCTGCTTAGTGCGAAACCGCGGGATCCCCGTTTAAGGATAACTCACCCAGCAGCCTCCCGGCCTAGACGGGGCCCTCTATATCACCTAGTAATTACTAATACTTTTTTAAATATAGAAGGAGCATCAGAGAGACCGAATACTAATACAAGTACAAGTGAATTTTCTAGAACTATCAAGCTCTACCTGATTGTAAGCTCTAGAAAGATTTGACTTAGAAAATTCCTCCCCACCATGAAGTTTCGCAAACAAATCTTCAATCCGTGGCAAAGGATAACTATCAGAATATAACACTTTATTTAATTTAACTGAATAGACGTCCTCCGTGGCCGAGTGGTTTGCACGCCGGGTTTCATGGTGTCGCCGACTCGAAAGGTCCCGCAGTCCGAATCCCGATGGGGGCAGATGTTTGTGTGATGAATACGAGCATTTGTACTCCAGTCATGGATGTTAAATATGTATTTCTATAAAAATAAACTTATATATGTACAGTATATGTATTCTATCCGTTACCCTAGCATCCCATAACACGAGCTTTACAGTGCTTACTTTGAGGCTAGGCTAGTTGGTGTGAGTGTTGGAAATATTTGTTATATTTATTTGTAATCACCACAGATTCTAATATCCCCGTGAGATCTTGAAAACCCCCACTATTTATAGGAGTTGCAACATCTGGGTAGAAGAGGACGTCGGCGAGCCCTGGCTGCGCCCGTCCCATGACCCTACCCGGGAGGTCCCTCGCTGACCGGCATAGCTACAGCTGTGCCGGCCACCGACGGACCCCGTGACGGCAACCCCGCCTTGTAGTTCTGTCCTGCAAAGAGGGGGTCGGCGGAGGGAGCTACATGGGCACGCCCAAGTAGCCCTCCGCAGCGGACGGGGGGCGGTACGGTGGGCACTAGGCCGCGTTCTCAGCCCCCACGCGCGGGCCATCCTGCGCACGTCTGCGTGGTGCCCGCGATACCCCGGGAGACCCCTGCCGCGGAGCCCCGGCAAGGCCGTGAGGCTGCTAGGTGCGGAGACGCGGAAGAATCCCTAAACGGGGATACCGCGGCTTCGCGCTAAGCAGCTTAGAGGGTGTTCGCAGGGTTTTTTAGCGGATATTATGCCGTAAAGCGCCCGTAAGAGTTACGAGGTTCTCAGTGGGCAGCCACTGTGGGGGCTCGTAAGGTTTGCGGGAGCCAGGCCGTTCGGCGGCATGCCTCTTAAAGGCGCCGTCGTCTGTAAACAGAGTTTTTGCCTATGTCACAAAAAAAAGGGGTTAAATATCTGAGTGATCCATCTTTTCTAAAATACCTTAATCTAGTAACCTTTGCAATACCGATTCCACTTTTTGATGTGTAACATCTTTCCTCTCGCTTCCCTGCAATTTGTGGAAGTGATTTCGTGAAATGGGACGGAAGCGTGTAATAGGAAGTCGCGAAATCGCGCGCTATTTGATTTGATTTTAGAACATAATGTTCGAATGGCTTATTCCTTTTGTAGTAGGTTTTATTTCTTTTGAAGGTGAGGTTTCAAATGTTACATATCTTACGCGACTATTATAGAGCTCGCTCGTTTCTATGTAGAGATACATCATCATCATCATCAGCTTATTAATGTCCCCACTGCTGGGGCACAGGCCTTCCCTATGGATGGAATAGGGATATTAGGCCATGACCCACCACGCGGGCCCAGTGCGGATTGGTGGGTGCTAACGACTACAGATGTAACCGGGACCAACGGCTGAACATGCCTTCCGAAGCACGGAGGATCTCGAGATAGTAAATTTTTGGTCACCCATCCAATGACCGACCACTGCGAAAGTTGCTTAACTTCAACGATCGCAGCCGAACGCGCTAACCAGTTGCGCCATCGAGCTCCTCATGTAGATACTCTACATAAAAAGCTATAATCGCGACAAATTAAGAATGAGTTTCGTATTAAACGTTAATGAGCCACAGTTTAATAATGTCATCCGCCCCATTATTGAGGAGTTCGTTACTAGGAGGCACATCCCACATCAATCGTTGTTATGCAAGCAAACCGGACCAAACCATTTTTGGGCCAAAATCAAATTTCGATTCAAATAAGAAGATAAATATCATCCACTGAAGTAGCATTATATGCTTATTATGGTAATACATATTCCTTATTAAGCTATGGAATCATATTTTGGGGCAATTCGGTTAACGTTGAAAGTACATTTCTATTACAAAAAAGGTGTTCAAATCAATGCGTAATATTTTTAAAGAAAACAAATTTTTACATAATGTGTAAATTTTTAAGATGTCGTATGTCTGAATACCCAAAGATTTCTGACACGAGAGTAAGTATAACCCCGATGAGACGTGAAGACAAATTACATTTACCTCAAATTCAGCAAATTTTTGAAAAATGTACTTATATGGCTGCCATACGAATATACAATACGCCTATCTGCGGTCACTTCCTGAATATAAGTTTGTAAGGTCCCTAAAGCAATATAATTCATTTTATAATCTAAATTAATATTTTAATAATAATGTTTTGTAAAAATGACTATTGCATGCCCGATTAGGGTAACTGTTTATTTTAATTGTGTGCACTAACATCTAGCAGTATCACTAAATGTAACAGTTTTGCAATAAAGAATTATCTGTTATCTATTAGACAAGTCCGTCCGTCCGTCTGTG